AAATACTATTGCAAGGATATAAATATGTCAGCCATATAACCCACACATCTGATTAACAAAATACAAAATAAATTTACTTGCCATCAAAACAAAATGGACCCTTAAATTTGAATGGTCTTTTTATATAATCCACATTTTTGTCCTTTGCGTACATGAATACATCTAAGAAGTGAACCGCTTTTGAGTCCAGACAATATGGATGGATCAATGGACGCCAATATATAAAGCAATTAAGCTCAATGGACACCACATTGTGGAGAAAACATTAACGTTTTGAAAACAAACAAAAAAATCTTTTGTGAAGATTTGGGGATGGGGAGAAAAGTTTCACAAAGACTAAATTGTTTTTTATTTACAGATTGCTTGTATGACAACACTCTGTTGATTGAAATCCTATGGGACCTTTCCAGCTTTGTGACAGCCATATCATGTGGTACAGAAATTGTATGGTGTATATCTTTGGCACTTGGTCAACCCTGAGATTGTAGTACATGTATAGTATACATAGGGGCTTTGTTGGCTAGGAAAAACAAACAAGTCTAACAATGTGTTACAAGTACCTATAGCTCGGATCATGAACTACTTGGTTCGATAGTAAGGGTTTTGGGTACAATACATAGAGGTAGTGTTATATCACATACAGTACTTTTGAAATAGAAACTTCCCACATTATTTTTTTAAGGGACATTTACAATAGTTCTACCAGCACTAGCCACAACAGTAACAATATTGTGAGCAATTAACTAGAGAGGGTATTCCAACTTAGGCACTGAACCCTTAAAAAATATTTGTTTGATATGCCTTAGTAAAAGACACATTACAATAACGATCTTCTTCAATGTCCCAAAACCCAAGAAAGTGTATATCTTAAATGCTTAAATTTTCTTTTTTTAAACACATGAAATAATGAAATTTCATTATTTTAAAATAATCAACATACCAGTGCACTTCATGACCTCAGAAATTTGACTTGAAAAATGTTGTGAACCTCTGGGGTATGGAAAGATCTGATGCAACGTTGACAGTTTAAGTACAGTTACCTGGTCTCAGATAGCGTATTAAATTCCTAAGGACATTTGTACTGAATGTTCTGTAAACCCTCAAAGGTTTTAGTGGTAGTTTCTTTGATTATATGTAAATTCTTCCAAGCAATGATTGCACATTTAAAACATCTTGATGCATGTTTGACATCTTGTTGCACAATTAAAACATTTTGATGCAATATTAAAACATCTTGATGCACAATTAAACATTTTGATGCACTATTAAAACATCTTGATGCACAATTAAAACATCTTGTAAAGAATACAAATCCTCACTATTGTTATGTAAAGTTGTGAAGTTAATGTTTAAACACAACATCCAAAAAACACAAAATTGTTAAAAGGAAAACAGAAATAAGCAAAAAGAACATTGATAAGACATTTTGTCAGCCTTCTGAATCCCTCAGACTTTACCACCCAGCTGTGTACATATGATCCATCAGCCCTGTTACTTTTTGCACTTCTGTTGTATATGTACTCATGGTGGTGGAAATTTCAAAGTTTCCCAATGAAAATTACCCTAATTATGAAGGCATGTGCAGACCATTATTTCACAATTAAAAACATTTTTACACTCCACAATCAAAAGAAACAATTTTTTTTTTCACATTCCTTACTAACAAAGTACCTGAAGAAATAACTAATAAAATGCTTAAAATATTTTCCTTGTTATGTAATTTTTCTAAAAATATAGTTATAGTGCTGTAAAAAACAGCAGTTGCTGGTGTATAAATAGTCTGTGTTTCTGTTTTAATGATCAATTCTTCGTGACTGGTATATCAATGGTCTGGATAAGCCAGAGATCTTTCCTATCTCCAGCCGTAACTAAATACCATTCCAGTCTCTATGGTTATCTCTTTATCAGCCAAACATCCAAACTGTTTGCTGTAATTTATCAGCTAACTTCACAAAATGTTTCTTTTTCCAAGAAAAAATCTGAAATGATTTTTGGCAGTTTTATATGATTTTCTTTCACAATATATACATATATATGCATACATGCACATCATTCTTGAAAGGAAATCTGAATCATTGCCAAATTGATTGCTTTCCAAATTAATGAAAATTTTGCATATCTTTCAAGCATGATTTTAATTTGACTAGACATTATTTTGCAAGATAGCTTTTATTTTTTAATATCTTATCCATTCATCAAAACCATTCAAATTTTCAAAATAGTTTTTGATTTATATTTTCCTCTTTGCTTTTATACTGAAAGTTAATTTGTGTGTGTTTTAGTGGATTCTTGTGTCAAAAGTTGATTTATCATTTGATTGATGGTTCTTCTTTGATGTTTAATAAAAAATGCAATGTCTTGTACCTTAATTTGAATGGTACAGGAAACAGGAAAAGGAAAGTGTAACGAGAGATGTTCATACTTTTTGATGAAAGCAGATTTTAGATGTGGTTCAAAAATAAAATTTGTCTTTTTTTTGTGCAAGGTTTTCTCAATATTATTTTCTAAAGGCCACCGCAGGACAAATGTAGTCTTTGAACTTTGCTTTTAAGATATTACAGGACGTTAAACCTAGAGACTTCTTAAACTCAATGTTAATGGCATTTTTGCTACATTTTCTTTTAAGTATTGGGATATCATTGTATTCATGTTACATGAATGTGACCACAACCAACAAACTTGAGAATACATTGCATCATTCATGATCATTGCAAGATGTGACCATGTTGTTTTTACAAACACTGATTCAATAACAAAAAATTGATCTTCCCACAACAGAAATCTACATAAAAATAGTAAACATTACCAATGGCTATCAGGCAGGATGGGAGAGAGAAATCGAAGGAAAGAAGAAAACAGGAAGGAATATAATAAAATTTTCTGAAACCAATTTATTTTAAACTTTACAAAAAAAAATTCTTAACCTTAGAGAAATTTTATTGTAGTATATATATATCTTCACTTAGAATTTTTTTTTTTTTAATAATAAAAATGGATATTGTAATGCTACAAGTATGAACGTGAAATTTACAATTTAACTTATTCAGGCAAAAGTGTACATATCATTCTATACCAGGATCCACATTAATCTTGTTCAGACATTTATTTAATCTTATCAGGTGTATACCAGGATGGACATGGTAAATTGGAAGTGACCGTAATAATGATTTAATGTCACATTATAGCTGATATTAATAGGCAATCCTTATCAATTTTCTATAGGACCAGTTACACAAGTGACAAGCCTTTTCTACAGTCCTTACAGACTTTGTATAACATTATACATATTGCCCAAGGGGAGACATAGAGGTATGATCTAAACCAACTGGAAAGGTGTCCAGTGTCTATGTGACAAATTACTTCTGAGAGAAACACTGTTAGTGTTTTTATACACAGCAATAAGAATTAAAATGAACAGTTCACTGAACCTAATTCTACATTTTGCTTTGCCTGTAAATAAAATTGGGTATCATTGTCAATAATATGACAGATATTTGTCCAGATCATAATATATATATTTTAATTAGTGACATATCCTACAGTGTTTGTGCCAGATTTAATTGGAAATGAGCCCTTCATGTGTATTGGTAAACATACCCAGTGTTATTAAACACTGAATAAATAAGTATTAGTTATATGTAAATATATATTAATAAAGTTTCATAAGCTTAAAATGAAAATATTGCGAGTAGCAAATATGGCATTAATGTATTTTTAGCTCAAATATAATAATAAGTACAGTATGTATATAATATTCACATACTGTCAGCTTCAATACACTGAAAGAATACACAACAATGTTCAAGCATTGTCAGCATGAGCACACTTAATGAATACACAACTATATTCAAAGCATTGTCAGCTTCAATACACTGAAAGAATACACAACTATGTTCAAGCATTGTCAGCATGAACACAATGCATACACGCCTGTATTCAAAGCATTGTCAGCTTAAATACATTTAAGGAATACACAACTATGTTCAAGCATTGTTAGCTTGAACACACTTACCAAATACACAACTATTTTCACAGCATTGTCAGCGTGAATACATCTAGGAATACACAACAATGTTCAAGCATTGTCAACCAGAACAGACCCAGATAAAATCCTTGTTGATAATTAAAGTATTGTCCACTTAAATGTACCTAAAGAACACAAACTATACATAATCAGTCATTGTCACTGTGAAGCATTGGAAGTAAATTACTAACTGATCCTAATACTGTCGGCTTGAATTTACAATAAATTCATCATTGAATGGCACACTATTATTTCCCTTTTCCCACAACTGATATTTCACACCTCTAAATGCCACATCTTGTTTTTTGATACAACATTTTTAAATGTATCTTGTATTACATAATTCATGGTTCTGCAACAGTTCCTTGCCTATGATACAGATTTTACTGTGTGATAAAACATATCTCACAAGATAAAATGATTCTATTTGATAAAATTTCACTTAAATGGCAATTAAATGCATATGGTAAGATTCAGTAACTAACGCATCATATGTTTAATGAGTAAGACAAGTGACAAAGTCAGGAAATAAAAAATCCACCCAAAGCATATTCGCAATGTGTACACAAAAGTAGACAGGTGAAGAAGGTAGGGGATGCAGACTAGGTATAGCAGATGTCACATTTTCATCTTTATAACTGGATTCCTATCCATTTCTCAGCTATGTATGATCTTCCAATTCAAATGTTAACTGCTTTCATTTCAGATCTGCTTATGTGTTAAGTTCATACCATAACTTCCAACATCATGTGCCCGTTAATATTAAAAATTTAAATATGAAGCGTGGATGTTTCGTATTTTTCCTGTTCCCTAGTATAATCAGTGAACGATGGTCACTTCCCTGTTTTTGTGTATGTAAATTGTATTTGCCTGTAGTGGTGAAAAGGTAAGATGTTTATATAAACGGTGTTATGGCCGTTGTAAAACAAGGACTTATAAAACTGTTTGCTTTATGTTTAATCTCAGAGTGACCTACCTGTCTAGACGACATCTTCCTTTTTTTAAATATTTCACACCTTAAATCCAAGTAAGTGCAGGTCTACATGATGAGAAAGTAATCATTACAGGTGAGCTTATTTCGCCAAGGTCTTTCAAACGCTTGAAGACGAACTAGGTCCGCTCACTTTTCAAATTTATTTCCTTGGGAAAATAATATTCACTCACTTATAGAGAAACACAACATAAACAGTGCATCTTCACTAGCTGTCAGAACCGATGAGAGTGGTGGCTGCCACTAAAGTCTATCTTGTAATGATTCACCACAATTTTACCTCGCAGACGGTACGGCTGCTATAATGTCGCGGACTATCATCGTATGCCTAAGCCTGAGCGTACGAGTCAGTTCTCAGGCTTGCCTCGTTGTCGATGTGGAATATCCCGGATGATAATAATACCGTGACTACCTTCACCTGTACAAAATTTATTACCGCCACTTGTTGTACCCACTCGGATTTCCGTGTTCTAAGTACCTGCATTTTGGAAACACATAGGTATACCATATACATTTGATAAACAAAAAATATATAAACACGTAATCTAAAAAAAATAGTTGTTTTTAATGAATTAATTTAGGTTATCGAATCAAAGAGCTTATCATTTTTTGTTCTACATGTCGACTTGTAAACACAAGTTTTCTGCATGTCTGAAGGGCTATAGATGACACCAAGTATATTACGAAACGTCTGATTTAAATTAGCTAAATGTTAGCTTTTCCATGATTAATTAAGTAAACATTATCTTTCGGTTAACGTAAAATATTTCAACATTTCTATGATTAGGTCAACTTCCTTTTTCAGTTCATGTGTTTTCTTCAGAAATGATTTAAATTGTACCATCACTTAGTCAGATCAGCGAGTCATTTAAAATTTTTGAATCCCCAGTATCACGTACAGACTTATTGCACGTAAGTCTATGAAATTATATAATATTATGTAAATACACAAATATAAATAGGATTAAAATAGAATAAGAATTAATGTAGGAGTTGTCATGTCATTAATTAATATTTCTAATAAAATCAATAAATCATAAGTTTAACTAAGGACACGATAATAGCTATATCTATTCACCTAGGTATACATGTGTAGACATATCGAAGTCTGTGCTTTAATATTGAATATTTTGCGGTGTTCTTTACAATCGTGAGTAATATAAGACAAAGGACTTGACACATGGAGATATATTGACCTTATGAATAAATGAAGACAATTAAAAGCCTTGGCATAATATTACGAAGAATTTCAGGTATAATTCTATTTATTCACTTTTACATACTTGATATTCAATAGTATATAAAGCCTTATAAAATTGCTCTTTTGAAGAAAAAAAAGTTTAAAAACTCTGGACAAACACTGGATCAAACAAAAAATCGTGTATAGAATTACAAAATTATACGTTCATGCTTCATGGATAACGTGGGGTTACTTGTAAATAACGTGTTGAATATTTTGTCGAATTCGGTGAAGAGGATCAAACATATCCTGTATCGGTAAAAATAAACTGAATTAAACATGACCGAACTGATGTGTCATGTTTAACCTCTACATGTAGTCATAGTTTGATCAATTTACGGGTTTTTTCTTACGTCACGTGTGCACGTGATCCACCCAAGGAAAACAAATTCAGAGTGCAAGTATTTCGAAAGGAAGAAATTAAATACATGTACACCCGTTTAACTTCTTAAATTCTTCCGGTTTGGATATATGAAATAATACTAGCTCACTGTATACTGTCCCTGAGGGACCATGTTAGATCACAGACAATATCAAATAACAATTATGTGTATGTAGATCGTACTTTAGTAATTGATCATAACAAACGGAAATTAATTCGAAAGTTGATAGAAAATAGATTGACTACCAGCCCCTAACTTTTTGTAATGAATTCCTCTTCTGAGTTCCTACATTAGCGTATCTCCCTCTAGTTTGAGACTTGTCATCAGAATATCCAAAATGACAAAGCTAAACTTAATTTATAATTTTGATATTCTTGAGACAGGGACCAGTTTTGTGTTAACTGCCAATCATATTTGTCGAGGTTTGTTTTTTATATCACTATCTTTACTGTAGACTAAGTCATCGATTATACCAGTCAAGAACACATTTTCTCGTCTCATTATTTTCGCGTTTATGGCATTTAATAATATAGCATTTTAATAATATAGCGTATTTTATTGTAAAAAAATTATGAATATCGTCTCCTCACAGAGCAGTGCGACGCGAAAATAATCCTCGCCAGAAGCACGTGGTCAACAGTAAGAACATGGATCCAAAGAAAAGATAATATCTGTATCCCGAGCTGTGCAGCTTCTCTCGATCAGTTCACGTAGAGCCGCTAGCAGTAGGAGACGGCTTGTAAACATTTTCATTCAGAATTCTGACTCGGTGCCCCATGTATCAAAATGTCTTATCTGACGAGCATCCTACTATCGTTATCCTGAACATCACAAGTTTCCTCTCAAGTATAAAAGATAGACTTATCGAAAGCTGCTATGTTTTATTAGAATATATATATATTTTCCGGCAGGACGGTATTGGCCGTTACCGATTATCGCAAAGAACTCACGATAAGGCTTTCCCTACAAGAGTACATGGTTATTGGTTCGAAACCTGTTGGAGTTATACAATTAAAATGTATATGTATAGTCTATAATATGCTATATATGGTGTTAAAACAAAAGTTGTGTTTTTGGAACAGCTGTCGGTTTTTTCAACTTTGATGCTACCAGACAATTAAAACGGTTTTAGAATTCAGTGGGCATACCGTATGTGACGTTTTGATAGATAACATCATTGTTGAAAATTAAAAAAAAAATGAAATGAAAGAATAAAAAAAGAAAAGTCTATCTTTAGAACTATAATAAATATATCACATGAATGTAATTGTGTCGGGCAAATTTCACATTATCTTGGTTCGTTTCTTTTAAATCCTAGTGGTTCAGAGAAAAATGCGACTAGAAGACAGATGTACGTAGATAAGGTGTTGAAAACTCATTGGTGTATAGTTTATTTCGTCGAGTTAACATTGATTGTAAATGTAGACATTCCCAAATAAAAGCACGAATTTAACATTCGTGTCGAAACAAATCAAAACATTGTATATAAACAAAAGGCATAACATCGATGTAATTTTCTCCAGCAGATAGGAACAAAATGGTAGCGTAGCACGAATGCTGTACCCAGGTGGTAGGTCCAGGTGTGCTCAGGTGGTACACATCTATTAAACAGCGATGATATCACACCTGTAATCTCGACGTATACTTGACGATTCCGAGAAGGGACTTAAGAGGGTTTTTTCAAAACGTGAAAAAATGGCACCCACAGCTGAAATAGATAGAATTACTTTAGTTTTCATTGCGTGTTCTGATTAACACGATATTTTTACACATCTGAATAGAAATGATATAGAAATAAAAATATAACCGGAAATGAGTTGTCATTTCTTACCTCGGCTTCAGAAACAGACACTATAGCATTACAGAGATATGATATAATATTAGATCAGGACTACTCTGTAGGTAGGGACATATATGAAGAAATATGCAAATATGACAGAGGATCGGTTGCCAAAAGCTTACAGCAACATCAAACATGTCTACTGTCTGTGAACAACGGTGTTTCGACCTTTTCCAAGAAAACGAAAGTCATCAAATGTGAAGTTCAATATGTAAATGTATCATGTTTTCGATTGATTTTATCTGCCTAAACTTTCGCCTTCCAAATTGTCAGATCCAGTGTGATAAAGCTCCTACGTACTGTCATGTTCCTTCGAATCGTTGCTTTTAGTGTTAACACCCACGTATCTTCGTGTTCAGTGTAAGCTGGCTTCTACGTACTGTCACGTTCAGTGTAAGCTCATACGTATTTTCAAGTTCCGCGTTAGCTCCAACGCACGGCAATATCGCGCGTAGTGTAGCCTCCTACGTATTGTCACGTTCAGGTATAAGCTGTTTAGAATTATCATGTTCAGTGTAAGCTTCAATCTAAGCGTTCAGTGTAAGCTTATACCATCGCGTTTAGTGTGTATTCCTACGTATTTTCACGTTTAGTGTAAGCTCCTACGTAATGCCACGTTTAGTGTAAGTTCCTACTTTCTGTCACGTTCAGGTTAAGCTCCTACGTACTGTCACGTTCAGTGTAAGCTCCTACGTACTGTCACGTTCAATGTAAGCTCCTACGTACTGTCACGTTCAATGTAAGCTCCTACACACTGTCACGTTCAGTGTAAGCTCCTGCGTACTGTCACGTTCAGTGTAAGCTCCTACGTACTGTCACGTTCAGTTTAAGCTCCTACTTACTGTCACGTTCAGTGTAAGTTCCTACGTAATGTCACGTTCAGTTTAAGCTCATACTTACTGTCACGTTTAATGTAAGCTCCTGCGTACTGTCACGTTCAGTGTAAGCTCCTACGTACTGTCACGTTCAATGTAAGCTCCTACGTACTGTCACGTTCAATGTAAGCTCCTACACACTGTCACGTTCAGTGTAAGCTCCTGCGTACTGTCACGTTCAGTGTAAGCTCCTACGTACTGTCACGTTCAGTTTAAGCTCCTACTTACTGTCACGTTCAGTGTAAGCTCCTACGTACTGTCACGTTCAGTTTAAGCTCCTACTTACTGTCACGTTCAGTTTAAGCTCCTACGTACTGTCACGTTCAGTATAAGTTCCTACTTACTGTAACGTTCATTGTAAGCTCCTACGTACTGTCACGTTCAGTGTAAGTTCCTACGTACTGTCACGTTCAGTGTAAGCTCCTACGTACTGTCACGTTCAGTGTAAGCTTATACGTACTGTCACGTTCAGTGTAAGCTCATACGTATTTTCAAGTTCCGCGTTAGCTCCAACGCACGGCAATATCGCGCGTAGTGTAGCCTCCTACGTATTGTCACGTTCAGGTATAAGCTGTTTAGAATTATCATGTTCAGTGTAAGCTTCAATCAAGCGTTCAGTGTAAGCTTATACCATCGCGTTTAGTGTGTATTCCTACGTATTTTCACGTTTAGTGTAAGCTCCTACGTAATGCCACGTTTAGTGTAAGTTCCTACTTTCTGTCACGTTCAGGTTAAGCTCCTACGTACTGTCACGTTCAGTGTAAGCTCCTACGTACTGTCACGTTCAATGTAAGCTAATACCTACTGTCACGTTCAATGTAAGCTCCTACACACTGTCACGTTCAGTGTAAGCTCCTGCGTACTGTCACGTTCAGTGTAAGCTCCTACGTACTGTCACGTTCAGTTTAAGATCCTACTTACTGTCACGTTCATTGTAAGCTCCTACTTACTGTCACGTTCAGTG